GTCTAAAAGGGATACTGTTAATTAGTGAAACCCACGTTCCTGAACAAATTGTCTGTCTATCACTGTGAGTTCAGTGCGCCACAAAGAAACAGATTTGTTACAATGGCAGCTTTTGTACTTAAGAGTTAACAAAAGGCGATGCTACAGAAGGGATAATGGGTCCAAGTTCAAAAAACATATGCACTATCTTTTCGGTCAGTGTTCTTCTGCTAGCTCATTTAAATGAAGAAAAGCTTTAAAAGTTACTGTCTCGTTTCCGCCCACCCACCTTTTATACTAACAAAAGAAGTGCTGGATACTTTAAATGTTTCTTTGTGTATATATATATTTTTTCCAACTAAAGATTTTTCTCTTCTCCATTTTTATAAAATTGCTTTTTTTAAATACTGATGTTTGGGTTGAGCTGAAACCAACACATCATTTTGGTGATGTGCTTGTGCGTGGTTAGAAATTTTGTAGCGAGTCTTTAACGCAGAATTTTTATTAAAATTTTTTTTCATACTTTTTCCTTTATTTTTGTATTAATTTAATGTCGAAATATTATATCTAACATTTTAATAATTTATGGTATAAAATACAGTATGAAACATCGGTTTTGTTTTTGTTTTTTTGTTGCTTTTAAGGTGAAATCTTTTGAACGGCTCATTTCCAAACAATAATTTTTTCACATTTGCTGTAATTTAGATCTAAAAGAAACAGTTATTTATTCATTATTAAAATTTCTTTAATTTACTGAATCAACTATTATTGATAAATTTTTGAATATTGTGGGGAAAGACCATTAGACAATGCCAACCTTCATCTATCAAAAGGTACATCAAGATTGAATCAAGTTAGCATGTCTTATATACTAGTGAATTGATGTTTACAAATGCCAGGTAGTTACGCCACAATATGAAAGGAAAAAAAAAAATTTTTTTTTCAAGCTACTTTTTTTGAATTTTATATTTTAGCACAAAATATAATTTGCAACTTTAGACTTTTTTTTTTTTTTTTTTTTTTTTTTTTTTTTTTTTTTNTTCATTATTCTGCATTTTTTTTTTTTTTTTTAACAACTAAAAAATCCAAAATATATTTCTGCTTGTTATTAGAGATTCGGAAAAAATATATAAAAGGGACACCAGTGTTCAATATGCGTTAAAGGATTTAACTATAATAAAATTCAAATTTGCTGCAACCTTAAGATGGTTTTAAGTTGAACCATATTATTGTTCTTCTTTAGCTTTGTTACTCAATACTATGGTTCATCTTGAATGGTAGTTCCATTTAATAGAACTTTTTATGTTGAAGCAAATTTGCACATCTTATTATATATGTATTATTCTTTGCACATCATGTTTGGACTGTATCGATTACTTTTCAGCGATTGAGACTGTTCGATTGAATTTTAAGGTAGGCTTTATGGTCAATGATGCTCTTCTGCCAGGAGTTAGCAAGCTTCTCCAATTCGCGACAATTCTCTGTAATAGTGGAATTTCGTCATATTAAGCTGGTGAAAGCAAGCTTTAAAAAAGTATCAGCCAATATTCGGGGAATAGTCTGTTGTGTTCTAGGGGGTCTTGTAGATTTAAGCACCACAATTTCATGGACGAAGGCAAAAAGTTGTGGAGTTGGAGAGAATGTGTTCAGCATTGCGCACCGACTGTTATAACTTAGAGAAGCTGGTACGCACTCATTGGTAAGCAGCTGGGTGGGCTTAAAGTCACCACTCGTAGTAGGACCACAATGTATAACAATGACAGCTCAATGCCTTAAACACATAAATTACGTTGGATTAAAACTTCTATTTCTCTTTAATTTATAAAGAACATTTTATTGATCTGATTTTAGTGATCATCAACACACCCAAATGTTAAGTCATTTAAATTTAGTTGAAACAAGGTGTTCTCTAATCACCTCGAACTGTTGTAAGGGTCTTTCATCTTAACATTTGAATTAAAATAATGAAAATAAGTTAATTTCTCAGATGAAATCGAGAATACCGATGAAAGGGAAATATGTAAAACTTGGCATAAAACTGAATTTATTAATTGGTTATGCAATCAGCGCGTCTAATCTTCTCCCATATCATTAGTAGTTTTAGAATGCATTTTTATTTTTAAATTTTATTTTTTAAACTGATAATTTTCTTTGAAACCGGTTTTTAAAAACTCAAACTGTGAATTCATAAATTACCTGTTTTGTTAGTTAAACGTTTTTCCCTCTCCACATTTTTTTAAATACTTAATTGCGTGACTTATTGACGGTGTGTTGCGTAACATATTATGTCTGTCTCTTAAAACGAAAAAAATAAAATAAAATCTTAATTAAATATTTTTTGTAAAAAATAAAGACGAAAATGGGTATTTCAGACTATTGCTATAGAAATTATTATTTTTCTTAACACGTCTTAACAGTTAAAAAATTTTTTAAATGTGAAATGTATTGTCAAAATAAAATAATGAATGTATTGTCGCATTTATTTATTAAATATGTAAAATGCTGTTCTGTTTAAAGCATTATTCCATTTAGCTAATCGAATAAAAACCTAATGGTTAAGAAAAATAAAAAGTGAAACCACGAAACAAAGCGTTATCTTCATGTGATTTAATGTGTTCTGTTCAAAGAAAACGCTTCGATTTTTCTCCTCGGTCAATTAAATCCAGCGTTGAGGTGGGTCAGTTTCGGGGAGGAGACATACGGAAGGCGTGTTCCATTGTTCTGCCAACAGAATCATTCACTTGACCCTTTTTATAGTGTTTTATTAACGATTTGTGTCGTAAAATTGAGCAATCTCGTTTGACTTGCTCTCACTTCTGGAGGGCATGCCTAAATGAAGTGGCAGTCTTTGCGATCGTGTATCACACTTTGCGGAGGGTCTTTTTTTATGGTGGATCTTAATTGAATTAAGTGCTTTGAGACTCCGTGTTTGTGAGGCGTTTTTACCCTTTCTGCCGTACTCCTTTATTTTATCTATCTTTACTCTTGAAAGAAATTATTGAATCTTCTAGAGACTATTACTTAGTCAACGGTTTTTTCTTCCTTTTTATATTGAACACAATAAAGTACTTTCGTATTTATATGACCAAATTTTGATGTTATCCAGGCTGTTATATGTACTGTACTTTTAATATAAATATAGCTTGTTAGTGTCTGTTCAATAGTTATTGTGAAGGCAGAACGTTTAAAAGAAGAAGAAAAAAAAAATTTTTTTTTTACGCCGTTTGAAATGTTATTTGAAGAATAACTTAAATGTAAATCGTCATTTACACATTTTGAATCTCTTAGAATTTGAAAAATAATTTTTTAAGACATGGGCAGCACGATTGCACCTCATATTGCACTAAGGAACATTTTTTTTTTTTTTAAGCATTTGTACGAATAGTTGATCTTGTGGGGATTTCAAATCTGGAATCTGTTTTGGGCCTAAATCTGCAGGTTTTTTTTATTTTTAAATGACTATGATTTTTATGAATGAATATTTTATTTTTAAATGACTTTTTAGTCTATTTTTTGTCGAAATGTACAAGTTTAAAAACATTGTATGTAACGGGGAGTTATATAAATTTTCTGATAAACATCTAAAGGAACTTGGGCACATTATCAGGATTAAATTAGGCTAGGGGCGCTTTCCCTATTTGGAGCTGCTCAGAAGCACGCGAAAAGAGTTTATTTTATAATTTGGAAGCTCCCTTAGCGGCGAACAATAACATTTTCGAGCATAGGTTCCTTTGCATTTTTAATCCTGATGATGCGTCTCAACTTCTCTAGGAGTTGGTCAGTACATTTGTACGACTTCGTTTTATATATAACGTTTTTAAACTAGTGTACATTTCGACAAAAATAAAGACTGAAAATGTCATTTAAAAAAAAAGAAGAAAAAAAACTGTAGCATGGAGAGAAAAATCGACTGCAAATTTGAAATCAGAGATACGAAAGAATGCAAGATTTGTTTAAAAAATATATGCTACTGGAAGAAAAAAAAATGTTGAAAAATAATTTAAAAGAGAAAAAGGACTTTCACAAACATGAATAATAACCTTGTCATGATACCTAAATGTAGTTAATATTATTTTATATTTTATCTGTCAAAATATTTTTAAGACAGCTTATTTGATCCGACGAGACAGTTAAAAATGCTTTGCGATTATTCTGGAGTATAATGTTGCATCTTATGAGCTACTAGCGCCATCTCTTAACGATATAAGTTACTATTGTGTTAAAATACGCTTACTTCACAAATAACTTTCTTGAAGTGAGCTTTGACATTTAATAACTTAATTGAAAATTTATAATTTTAGTTTGTTTATTCATGGAAGTGCGAAGCAGACCTTTTTTAGTGTGAGGCATAAGTATACCCTTTTTGGAAGAGAGATTAATCAGATCTAACTTAAAATCCTTGTGACTACTTATTTTATTTGTCTAGAGCAGCGGAACCTTAAGGTTCGGTGGAAAGGTCACAAGGGTTCCTAGAGTTGACTTTTACCAGTTGGGATTTTTGAAACTTGTCATTAAATATATATCCGAATTGTTTTATTTAATATTTTCGTCTATGTTATGAAATTATTTAATTCAAATGCTTGTGTGAAGATAGAAAAATCAAAATTAAAAATTTTTTTTTTAATGAAAAATTGCGTTAGTATTTGCATTAGACACTAAAATGAAATTAAAAGACTAGAATTTACAGACTTTAAATTTATTTGTCTAACATAATAGTATTAATAAAACGATAAGATGAAAAAATTTCATTTTTATTCATTCATTAAATATTTTTGAAATGCCTAATAAAATTTCAATTATGAAGTATTTTAATTTATTTATAAATTTATGAAATCACGATGTTCTATTAAAAAATGATTAATCATTTATGGTTTCATAGCTGGAAAAAATTGAGAACTTTGAGGACATTTTTTACAATTTACTTTATTAAATTAAATGAAGCAAATAATTTTGGATCATACTGTTTTATTAAATATGAATATCGGTTCAAATAAATGTTTATATATTTCGTATGTTTATAGGTTCTCCCTTTCCATTTTTGGGTGGCATGTTCACGGGCAGTTTGGCTGCGCCTCCAACGAGTCCATTTCGAACTCCAAGCACATCTCAGCTGAATAATATGAGGTTTTGGCCTCCAACACCTCCTCCTGACAGTAAGCTTTTTTCTTCTTTTGTATTATTTTATTGCAAAAAGCACTGTGCCTGGACTGGTTGCAGACACTCTTTCAAGAAACAGGAAAACCTAGAATTCTCAAGGTATTTAAAAATACCTTTGGAAAACCTTCAATCCTCAGAAAAAGGTTTTTGGAGAATAAACAATTATTTTCATACTATTTAAGCTCTAGTGTGTGTCAATTCAATGTACTACTTATGAGGCGTTAAATTTTTTAGAACAAAAAATAATAATAAAATTTTTTAAAATCTATTCATATCTATATGGAACTTATAATAGATTTTTCTAATGTCATGAAATATTTATCGTATTATTATAACAATAAATGAAATTAATTTTCTGCATTTAGGTAAATTCGAAATGATTATGCTTGTAAATTTTTAAATTACAATTAAAATCACACTAATTTATTTTTAAAAAAAACGCCATAATATCAGATCACAAACTTAACTCACTAACGGTTCTGCACGTAAAGAGTCTAATTTTAACTTGCAGTTTCCTCTGCATAGCAAAATTATTGGATAGAGAAATAGTGAATTTGGGCAAAACAATCTTTCAATTTTGCCCATTCGCTAAACCACCAGTGGGTTAAATTACAAAAGTAATAGTAATTTTTAAAGTGATAAAAAAAATTTATGTAAGAAATATTTTTTTTTTTTTTGTGTAAATTTGTTATTCTATAGAAGTATGCAAAAATCCTGTTCGAATAAAACTGGTTATTTATTGAATTGAGTAAAAAAAATTCCTTTTTGCTTCTGAAATATTTTTTATAGCAACAAATTAATATTATGACTTACCTACACTGTGGAACTTTCAGGAGTTCAAAAAAGCAAGGAAGATGAGGAATCTTTTTGGAATTTTTCGTATATTAAGTTAATGGATCAGATTTAAGAACAGAAACAAATAAATTTTATGCAATTTTTGACAAAAGTAAGGCATAAATGAAAAAAGAAAACCATCCACACATTCCTATGCCGCTCATAAAGTATTATTTCATGGTCATGGATTAAAGGATCACAAAATAATAGAAGGTACTCATTTTAAAATTCAAAGTGAAGGTTGTGCAGTAGTACTCAGAAATTTCTGTAGTGTGAAATATTTATCACATAAATTCCTATCAACTTTCAAATGTAAGAAGAAAAACTATATGGAGGTATTCGTGTATGGAAATAAAATTCTTTTTATCACTTCCACTTCTATACAAAATGTAAAGTAACTTTTTTTATTTGTATTATTTAATATTCCATTCATTAAATTATTTTAATAAAATAAAAATGCATGTAATGTCCGAAAAAAATATATGTAAAAAAATGCATTTTCTTTCTAAAAAAAATTAATAATTAAGTATTATAACTGAATAGAGAAATTTATAGAATAAAATAAATAATAAATTTTTCATAAATTATTGATACAATATTTTGTAAAAATATGACGCAAAGCTTATTTCAGCAATTTACAAAGGATTGTGTAATCGAATCAAATAATAATATTATAAAAAAATACTAATATAAATATTTAAAAACAGATAAATACAATAAAATGAGCTATGAAACGAAAACTAGGTACAGAAGAATAGTGTGTATGCTCTTATGTGCATACATTGGCCAGGAAACAAGTTTGTTGTCACATGCAGTGTGAAGGTATTTGCAATCACTTGCAACAGACACACTGCAACAAGGAAGCGAAATCGTGTTTCTCGTCGCCGTCGCATTCAGTATGAGGCCACCTTTGGACTGAAAATGTAATGAAACATTTCCAAATGATTTTTTTTTTTGTGGAGTTCTGTAAAAATGATTTTTTTTTGTAAAAACTACCTTCAAAAATATAATTTTTTAATTTTTGTTTAAAACAATTTGCTTAATATTTTAAAATGTGCTGTTATTATTGTTATTTCAGCATATGGTCGTTATAACATGAACACCAGTTTATTCCCCTTGTTTGGATCTCAGTCTCCGGATGCTGGAGCATTCCTAACTCAAGGACTAGTCTCTCGCATGGGTTCAACAACACATTTATCACCTGTTATTGATCATAAAGGTATAGTTGTGTACTCTCATTTAATTATTGCATTTTATTACTCTACATATTTGTTTGTTCTGATTGAAATTTGTATATGGTCACAGGGGAAGCTGTTGAATTGCAACTAATCTTCAATTTAATTTTATTTATTTTATTTTTGGTTTCACCACCAAGATTAAATAAGAAATTTAAGAATTCAGTATTGCTTCAGTGATGAATAACCGGAACTTAAACATAATCAAATTAATAATATAATTAATAATATAGTCTCAAAACTAAATTAATAGTGCTACAGTGATTTTATAAGTTCATTAGCTTAGTGATCATGCTGAAATCATTAAAAAATTTTAAAAGTTTTAAATCATAATATGTTCTGTGTTGTAAAAAAAAAGTTTTTTTTTCTATCAAAACAAATCTAAACGCGTGTGTATATATATATATATATATATTCGTAAGAGATTTTGTCTTATGATTCTAAAAAATAATGCAGCTTTAATATATTTGTTTTTACTGTCCTTAAAAAGAAAAATTTAAATAAGTGTTAATACATTCAGGTAGGATACAGTAGAAAAAAAAAATAAGCAAATCTGAATTTACCTTAAAATCATCTTTCATTAATAAGCTAATTAAAAAATTGTGCACTCAATCTATGTAGTTTGTCTAATTCTCGTCTTTTATATGTAATAAATTAGCTACTTAATTTATTTGCAATTCTTTAAAGTAATCACAAATATGAATAATTTAAATGTGCAACGTGTTTTAATAGCGACTATAAATTTAAAAGCAGCTGTCCCCTTCCTTATTATTTTAATCATTAGAATTAGTTTATAAAATATTTTCAAAATTAATAAACCTGTTTTAATTATATTTTGGTTTTAAATTATTTCTGTAATATGGCAAATATTTCCTTTAATTATTTTTAATCTAAATATATAAAAACAAATAATTATTTAATCTGTTATTGAATTGTAGGAAAAAGAATATTGTAAAAAAGCTTTAAATTTATAAATAAAAAAAAATTGTGAGGCTTATCCTTACAATCTGAATTCTTCTATTTCTTGCTAATATTTTTACGTTTATTTATTTTATTTCTTGGAGTTATTTACAAATTATTGGCCTTAAATGAAAGAAGTCTTTATTTTTCTTCTACAGAACACAGTTTCTTTTCTCATGGAATTGGTTTAAGTTCCCCTTTGACCCCGAATAGTCATGTGACCTCACCTTCACCCTTTCCTCATCTTATTCCTTCTTTAGAACGACACCCAGGTTTCATGGGTCACATGACTTTGGGCAGCAAGGAGCTTGAAGATATTCAGCCTGATACAGACGATGCCAGACTCCTAAAAAACCACATCGATTGTTTGATGAAACATGACATTCCCTCATCTCGCCAAGACCGGTTGAAATCAAAACATGACTCTAAAAATTGTTGTGAGAAAGCTTCAGATGATTGTTGTAAAATCTCACCTTCTTGCATTCCCCGTGATACTAAAAAACCTCATGACAACAGCAGGAACTCTTCCAAACATGATGGAAAAAACCATAGTCACCAACTATATAACAAAGTACAGCCTTGTAAAATAGAAGTGAGTCACTCACCGACATTGAAACATGACCTGTTATCCCCACCTATAGACTCTCCCAAATCTGAGATGGCTTCACCTTGCCGAAGTGCAAAGAAAGCTGTCTCGCCTTTTCCACCAGAGCCAGTTACTTCATCAACTTCTCCTTCATTGAGTCCTGAAAATCGATGTTGTCAGTGTGCTGGTAGCATCAATAATGCTGTTAAATTAAATTCCAGTGAGAACATCTCTAATGTTGTGTCTTCAGAGCCAGTAACTACTTCAAACACATTTGCCCAATCAATTCCTGTGGCAAAGGTAACATCAACAAAAAGTGATATTGCTTTCACTCCTGTCAATACTATCAGTGCAAAAAATATGTGTGTACCACATGAATATCATCAAAATATTCAAAATTCATTGAGTAAGTTATTTTGTTTTTAAATGTTTACTTTTTATTTTTATTTTAGATCATTGTCTTATTTTAGCCTGAACCCTCAGAATCTTATGTTCGAAAATTTTAGATTTGTTTCCTATACATAACGTTCCAATAAAAAGAATTTGAATGGCATATAATTTTTTAATGTAGGAACGAAGGATGTTTATTATTTGAATTATTTCGTAATTACTACAGATTTAATTTATAGTTTATCAATTAATTTTGTGGTTTAATCAATACAATTTAAGATGGGAGATCCAAAACTATCACAGCTTCCTTTTCACTGTATTAAATTCCTAGATCCCAATTTTTTTTTTTTACTGTTTACCCTCCCTCTCACTCACTAATAGCCCCTCATAATATTCACCTTATTTATACAAAAACGGGTCTCATATACCCAAGGAGATCCAATATTTTATTTTATTTATTTTTGCTGCTGCTGATTTGTCTTACATCCTTTTTGTTTATCTTACCTAGAATATATCTAATTCTGAATCTTATGTCACAATACTCAAAATTCAACTAAATTTTCCTACTAATTGCATCAATGATCAAATCATTTCGTGTTATAAAAAAATTGTCTCATTTTTGTCATAAAGAATCAATATCCTATACCTATGGCATTAACGACTGCTTCATAATAATTGTGATTTATTTTAAATAAAAAAAAGATTTTCTTTACATTTAAATCAGACTCTTATTATTTTTTTCTGATACCAATCAAAGCTCGAATAAAATATATTAATAATATTATTTAAAAACAATATTATAACTTAAGTATCACTTAACTTAATTACTATCACATTATTACTAACTGATTAGGGAAAAATAAAGCTCAATACTCAAGCTTATGAATTTGAAAAGAAAAATACCAATGAGGAACCTGTGTTTTTTATTTTTAATTAAACTTCATGCCATTTTATGAAGATGGACCAAATTTCAGTTCTGCTGGTTTACAAGTTATTTTGTAATTAATATTTAAAATTGCTCAATCAACTATGCTTTCTTAAATGCAGTAGTTTTCCCCTCTCTACTGATGATGTCGGAATTTTGGCTCAATAAAACTCCCCAGTTTTCCTTTTTAGAATTCCTCCTCAGGTCTTCCTTTTTATGAATATTTTTTCATTTTATTAAACTACTTATTTTGCTCTAACTTCTTCATCTTAAACATATGTACTTTTGTTTTTTACTTTATTGAAATAGAAATGTTATAGTTGAAAAATAATTCTGTTTATTTTTAAGTAGTTGGGTGGAGGAAAAAGTCATTAGGAATTAAAATAAAGAAATAAAAGGGCATAAAAATATTTGCATCCGTTCTAAAAAAATTAAATGAAGCATTTTAGAAGTGAAAAAATAATAATAATGGAGACATTTTTTGAGAAAATTATTAAAAATTTCCCTAAAATTATTTCACTAAGAACTTTTAATTCAAAATCTTATACAATTTCCTTTCCTCTGTCTACGATCAAACCATTATGAAATTTTTTTCCAAACAATTCATACTTTTATACATGTTATTAGTAAAAATAAACCAAAAAAAAGAAATACAAATTAAGAAAGTACTTATAATTTTTTTTTTTTTGCACTTATGAATTTATTTTATTTCGTCTAGCCTGCAAACATTTTATCTGTAGGAGGAGGTGAGGCGGGGGGCAATTTAACCAGAGAAAAAAGCATTCCTCAAAATATTTCAAATTTGTTTCTTTAATTTTTGAAATTTTAAGAAACTATTTCAATAATTTATTTATTATCTCTAAATCAACAAATTTCAAACAAAATTTTCATTTTTAAAAATATTTAAACGTTTTTATAAAAGGAAAATTTTAAAATTATACTTCATTTTAATTCTTCAAGAAGTAGTAATACTTCATTTACGTCACACTTCAAATTTTTTCAATTAACAATGGAATAAACACACACACATACATAAAATAAATTGCAATACATAATACATAAAATTTTAAATACATAACACATACTAATAATACATAAAATTTTAAAATGCAACTTTTAAGTTAAGTTAAATCCACTGAATAAATTCAATATTACACGTAAAATAAAGGACTAAATTTTTATAGTGGAAATAGGTTTATTAATTAGTAAATTGTTTTAAATACAGCAAATGGAGGGTTATAAAAGTTTCACATCACTTTAATCCACATTTAGTCATTATTTTGTTTTATTATTATTTTTTATTTATTTTGAATATCAAATAATATTTAAACTGCTGTTTGTAGAAAATGCAACACCATGAAGGAATCATCAGAATCAAATGAAATATTATTTTAATAATGGAT